CCGTGGAGGTGACGGCAGAGAGCACGGCACTGCCGCCCTCCAGCACCAGCAGCTTCTCCTGCTCCTCCCGTTTGTTCACGAAGAGCACGGGTGCCTCTGCCGGAGGAGCACTGCACTCAGCTGTGGCCCTGCCAGCGGCACAGCATGGCATGGGGATGCCAAGCATCCCGGTGTGAGGCAGGATGAGACTGCACCTGCCCCTGACATGGGCGAGGGACACCTCCAGGCTCACCTTTCACACGCAGTGTGAAATGCACCTCATCATCACCGGCATCGCAGAGGAAGATGCCACCGTCACCCAGCTCCGCTTGCTTGATGGTGAGGCTGCGCGTGGGACCCTCACTGCACACCAGCAGCCGCCCACCTGAGCACAGCGTCTGTCCATCCTTCTGCCACTGTACTGCCGCTGTCTCCAGGGACAGCCGAGCCACCAGCGTCACACTGTCCCCCTCCTGCACCTCCAGCGGGCTCTGCGCCTCCTCCTTGTTGACAATACACACAGGCCGGGCTGAGGGGTGCAGGGGACAAGGCAGGGTTCAGGGATGTCCTCGCAATGTGGGGAAGTGCAGGGATAGGACCGCTTCAAGAGGAGAGGTGATCCCTCAGTGTGGGGCAGAAGGGCTGTGGGGCTGGCTGGGGGTCATGGTGGGACTAGACAGGGGTCCCAAGGGGCAGGCATGCAGGATGGAAAGGTCTGGCAGCTCAGGGTTCCCTCAGGGAAGGGACAGCAGCAGAGCCCATCACTCCCATATCATTCCCCGTACAGGCAGCACAGCTGCCATGTTGAGACCATTAATTTCATTGTACCACCCACCCACCTGGAGAGCCAGGACACCCGCCTGCAACAGGCCCCCTCCCACCCTGCACAGCCCTCCATCTCCAGCTGATAAGGGTCCAGGCTGAGCTCAGCCTTTGGCAGTCGAAGCAGGAGGAGCGGCGCCTGGGAGCCAGCCAAGGCTAAATTTAAACAGCCCCTGGCTGGGGGAGGCAGCGGGGACATGTCTCGCCACGACCCTGATGTGTCTCTTTCTAACCAACGGCTCCTGGAGGGTTGGGGACAGGGCTCCCACCCTTCCCTGCCATGCTGCCACCCCAGCCTCTGCATCAGCAGGGCCACAGAGGCTTCCCCTCTCCTTGTGTCTGCGGCACGACCCCACCATTCTGGGGGTCCCTGGGTTCTGAGCCAGCTCACCCGACACCTCCACGTTTGTCACCATGCGGTCGCTGGCAGCGTCACAGATGTAGCACCCCGCGTCGCTGGGCTGTGCCCCAGTGATGGTGAGCTGCCGCAGCACCCCGCGGGCCTCCAGCTGCACCCGCTCACCCGGGTGCACCTCCTGGCCATTCCGGAGCCAGCGCACCACGGCGTCGGGCCGAGAGAGCTCACAAGCCAGCACCAGGTCTTCCCCAGCCACCAGGCAGCGATGTGCCACGGCACCCGTGCTGCCCACAATGGTCACCGGTGGCTCTGGGGCTGGAGAGATGGGCTGTCACCACAACAGCAGCCTGTGCTGGGTGGCACAATAGCCAGACCCTGTCCAGACTCCTCTGGCTGCAGCTGAGCAGCGCAGGGGTTTCCACAGGGCCACCACACAGATACAGCCCACTCCCCATGTGCCCCCCACCAGCCTCCCTGTGCTCACTGCCACCCAGCCCAGCCTCACATCACCCTGGCAGCAGCCACAGACCCACCTCACTCCTGTTCCCCTGGTCATCCCCACCAGGACCTCCTGCTCACCTTCTACAGTGATGAAGAAGACGATGCTGTCATCACCAGTGTCACAGAGATACTCCCCAGTGTCCTTGCCCGTAGCACCCAGGATCACGAGCGATCGGCGCACCCCATCCTCCTCCAGCCGCACATGCCCCGTGTCCTGCAGCTTCTCCCCATCCTTGTACCACTTCACCTCCCCGTGGGTGTGTGAGAGCTGCACCTCCAGCACCAGGTCCTCCATCGCCTGGCAATGCCGGTGGGTAGGCAGGACATCCTTCTCCAGGATCCTGACCAGCGGATCTGCAGCATCCAGTACCAACAGAGCTGAGGTCTCTGGGGTTTGTGCATCCAGCAGCCCACACCAGGCTCTTCCCTACCCTCATGCTCACCCAACACTTGGATGGTGAAAGTCACTGTGTCATTGGCGGTGTCACAGGTGTATTTTCCAGAGTGCTCAGCTTGGGCAGCGGGGATGAGCAGCCGGCGATGGACACCCTCCTCCTCCAGGACCAGGCCACCCCCAGCCTCGAGCCTGACACCCTCCTTTGCCCAGCACACGGGGGTATCCGCACGGGACAGCTCACAGCACAGGGTCACCGTCTCCCCCGGGGACACCGTCATGACAGGGACAGGTCTGCAGGGCTGCAGGATCCTCACCGGGGGCTCTGCAGGTATGGCATATCTGAGATACAGAGCAGCGCAGGGACAGCACAGCCCTGGGCACCCCGCTGCTGCCAGCTCCGGGTAAGCCCCTGTGCTGGGTGGCCCAGAGGATGGGCACCCACTGTGGCCAGAACCACATCAGCACTGACCTGACACCTTGACATCGAAGGAGACGGCCTCGTCCTTGCTCTCGCAGATGTACTCGCCTGCATCCTCTGCACTGCTCCTGGGGATGAAGAGGCAGCGCCAGGCCCCCTCCACCAGCAGCTGCAGGTTGTCAGTCTCGTCCACCTCCAAGCCATCCTTGAACCAGTGCACCGGAGCATCCGGCACGGAGAGCTCGCACCGCAGTTCCACACACCCCGGCGCCTGAACCAGCAGCTCCAGTGAGCGCTGTGGAGGCTGCAGGATCCTCACTGGTGGCTCTGTTGGGAGTGTAGAGGAAGAGTGTGAGACCTGCTAACTGCTCTGCTCCTGGCTCTGCTGTGTCTATTTGCTGTCACCTGTGTCCCTGTCCCCACGGGGCTGTATAGAAGCTATATCCTCTCACCCCAGAGCAAAGAGGTTGGAACTGCTCAGGGCAGGGGCAGCAGGCACAGAGATGGAACTGCATGCCCTCCTCCACAATGCTGAGAGCAGGGAGCAGGGCTGGGGACCCCAGAGCACAAAGCTGGGACAGTTCTATCCTTTCCAGGATGTCCCTGCTGTGCCACCAACCTGCCACCAAGATGGAGTAGGAGACAGATGCATCGCTGGCATTGCAGAGGAACTCCCCTGTGTCTTGTATCTGGGCACAGGGCAGCACCAGGCGGCACTGCAGCCCTTCCTGCTCCAGCACCAGGCTCTCGCCCACCTCCACTTCTTTGCCATCCTTGTACCAGCACACCAGGGACACTGGGTGGGACAGCTGGCACCACAGCTCCACGCGCTGTCCGACCACGTAGGAGTGAGAGGCCTCCTTGTTGGAACTGACAATCCTCACTGGTACCTCTGCTGGGAACATGGCAGGGCTCAGGTGTGCTGCTGAGTGAGCCTCACATGAGGACAGGAATCCCCTGGGCAGCTCACTGCTCACGGTCACCCCAAAGCTGGCAGCATTGTCCCCAGCATGGCACAGGTACCCCCTGAGGCAGGCAGTGCAGCTGCAGCAATGTGCAGCCTCTGTGAGCATCCCTCTGAGCAGATGGCCAGGACCTGCATTGGGACCACAGCCTCCCTGTCCTTCAGCCAGTGGGCAGGGACATCTGCTGGGGACACCTGGCACTCCTAAACAAAGGGCAGCCCTGCTAACACCTCCCAGAGCTGCTCTGCCTCCAGCGCTGGGGTGAGGCAGACCTTCGGGGCTGAGAGGACCAAGACCTTGTGTCACTTGGCCTCCCATCCTACCTGCCCTGGCAGCTGTGGCCATGGATATCCCAGCCCTGCAGTGCTGCAAGCTGAGGGAACAGCAGGGCTGGGGAGTGAGGTGACATCACCCAGAGGCAGGCAGATGCTTGTGCTCTGGAGTGTAGGGGGGCAGTGTGACACAGAGCTCTGGGAGGAGACAGACCAGCTTGTATGCTCCTGCCCACATCCCCTTCCAGCCCAGGGGCACGGGCAAGGAACTGCTCTCAAGGAGGTGAGAGGCAGCTGAGGTGCTGAAGCCACAGTGTGAGCAAGGAGCTGGGTTAGAGGGAGCAGGGGGAGAGGGATGTAGGTGTCTGTTGTACCCACCTGCCACGGTGACTGTGTAGAAGACAGAGTCCCCACCAGTGTCACAGACGAACTCCCCTGTGTCCTGTGGCCGGGCGCAGGGCAGCACCAGGCAGCAGTGCAGCCCCTCCTGCTCCAGCACCAGGCTCTCACCTGCCTCCACCTCCTCCCCGTCCTTGTACCAGTGCACGGGAGCTGCCGGGCGGGACAGCTGGCACCACAGCTCCACACGCTGTCCGGCCATGTAGGCGTGGGAGGCCCCCTCGTTGGAGCTGACAATCCTCACCGGCTCCTCTGTCACGGAGAGACGTGGGGCTCAGCCAGGACATAAGGAGCAGAGCCAGTGATGGTGGCCATCACAGCCCTGTGGGGAGTGATGGCTTCACCACTTGTTGGCTTTAAGGCTGGAAGACACCAATCATCTACATTCTACATAGCACAACCTTCTGCACCATCGTGCCTAAGTCTCCCTCTTCTCCTCACACACTACAACCAGGAGGAGCACCAGGCTTTGAACTGGCTGTAAATTGCTGCAGTGCCCTTGCTCCCACAGTACCTGCCCTGCTTTGCCCTGTGGTGGAGCTGAAGGCTGTGGAGGGAGGATGCATATAGGCAAGCCCCAGCACTGATAACCACTGTCTGTGGTGCCAGCAGCAGCCCCTGCAGCTGCTCTTCCAGGGGCTGCCCTCTCCTCTGCCTATCTCCCCATTCAAGTGCCAGCCAGTGCTTCTGTCCTGGCTCAGCCTTGACATTTGCTTATATTGTGGCACAGGAATGTGGTTTGCTTGCAGCGAGCAGCCCCATCCCTCCAGCTTACCAGGACCCAGGACCCAATTCCAGATTGCAGTCATCACTAAAATCACCATTAATTTGCTACAGAAAATGTGTGCCACTGCTCACACTGCCCCTCTGAATTGAGTCAGAGCTCTAAAGACAGAGGGGCTCCCAGCACAAATTTTATCTGACCAACCCTCCTCTCTGCTGGGAAAGTTCAGGATGCCACCTAGAGCCAGCACTGCCTGCCTGGCCGTGCACATTGCAGACAGCCGTAGCTGGCCTGGACTCTGGTGCCCACAGAGCCCACGGCTCCATGCGGGCACAAGGCACGACCAGCTCCGGGCCACAATGGTGGACAAGCACAACCTGCCCTTCCACAGCCCTCATCTGCTCCGTGCTGGGTGTCCGGGTGGAAGCTTCCCAGACGGCTCCCAGCTGCGCTGCCAGGCTCAGCAGCACAGCGCTGCCCCGCAGCGTGCGGAGCGGTGCGGCGCCGCTTCGCAGCGATTAACCTGCAGCACGCTGAGCCTGCATCCGCCCAGCCCCCTGATCAAAGCACTGCCGGCCGCCTCTCTGCCAGGACCTGCTAAAAGCAATCACATTGCTGGAGTGCAGCTGGAGATGTTGAGCAGCGCTGAAGTGAGGGGATGGATAATGTGCCAGCCCGCAGCGGGCAGCATCGCTCCGGCCTCAGTCTCTCACTAGTTCTGAGGGAGCTCCAGGGCTCAACAGCTGAGAGAAAACCCAGAGGATGCTGGGGATGGCCGAGCTTGAGGCAGGCAGGCTACATGCCATAACAGCCTGATAGCTGAGATGCCTCAGGGAAACCCAAGCGTGCCACAGCCGTGCTTGACTACAGCAGCCAGCCTGGCACTTGTGCCAGAGAGGTGTCAGCCTGAGCCTCCAGGCACCCACCCCCAGCCCTGCGGTGACATTGATGTCCAAATCCAGATTGAACCAAGACAGCCTCCCTAAGACCCTTCTGTCAAAGTTATGCAAAGCTGCTCAGCCAAAAGGCTGAGCTTCAGCAGATGGTGTTCCCTCTCCCAGCCTAGGGAAGCAGAGCTCTCCATGCCCCACACTCCCACACAGCACACGACTCCTGCCTCTTCCCAAAGCCCATGCTGCCTGTCCTTCCCACTGGCAATTTTGCCTTTATCTCACTAGAACCCCCCCCCTTCCTCACCCTCCCAACAGTCACCACTCCACTGACTCTTCAGCATCTCTTATCACTCATCCTATCTTCACTCCTACGTCCTTGGCCATCAACTTTGGCCCTTTGCCGTGTGTTCACAGTGAGGCTTTACCACTGTGGTCACATCACCTTTCGACTGGGCTTGAGCTCTGCCCCTGCTTGCCTTCCTGTGGCTGTGGGATGTGGGTTTTGGGGCCAGCAAGGGGAAGCCTTTAGTTTGCTTTCAGCTTTCATTATCCTGTGCCAGGCGGTGATGCCAGCAGCCACTCCACAGCCGGGGCAGCCGCCCCAGGTGCTGAGTCCTGCTCCCATCCAGCAAACACCACCCAGCCATCGGTCTCCAGGCAACTGCTCATTTTCAGCAATTAACGCTGCCCATCAGAGCAATGACCAACCATGAGTCACTCCACGCCAGGTGCCAGGCCCACTATTTTTAGGACCTTGGAGGAGGGCTTGGTTACTAGCCATGGCAGAAGTCCGGCAAACACCCTGGTGTGCAGATGCTGGGTGCTCTCGTGTGCTCTAGTGTTTCAGACAGGCTGAGTGAGCTGTTCCCTCTGGCCCCTGGTCTGAGTCCCACAAGGACCCCAACTGAGCAACGAACCAAACTGCTGGTGAGCACCAGGCAAGATCAAGTCTGACAAGTATCCCATCGCAGCAGGTGACAGCAATACTGACACCAGCACATGCTTTGTGACATCCTGCACCGGCAAAGAAAGACCCCTGAGACCCTACCAGCCCTCCTGCATCACACTCACCTGCCACAGTGATGGTGTAGAAAGCAGAGTCCCCACCAGCATCACAGACGAACTCCCCTGTGTCCTGTGTCTGAGCGCAGGGCAGCACCAGCTTGCACCGTGGCCCCTCCTGCTCCAGCACCAGGCTCTGGCTCACCTCCACCTCCTCTCCATCCTTGTACCAGCGCACTGGGGCTGCTGGGCGGGACAGCTGGCACCACAGCTCCACGCGCTGTCCAGCCATGTAGGTGTGGGGGGCTTCCTCGTTGGAGCTGATGATCCTGACTGGCACCTCTGCCAGGGATAACGTGGGCCTCAGCATGACTGGCTGCAGCTTTCAGCCACATGATGGGGCAAGAAGCAGGGCAGGAGCGCTATCAGGAGGTAGGGGCCAGGCTCCCACACACAGTCCCCAGCTCACCGGTCACGGTCACCACGAAGCTCACGGCATCATCCCCAGTGTCACAGGTGTACACACCAGTGTCTGAGGGACACGCTGAGCGGAGCAGCAGCCTCCGCACACAGCCTTCTGCCTGCACTGCCATAACATCATCCAGGGGCACGGCCTTGCCATCCTTCAGCCAGCAGACAGGGGCATCCGGGGTGGAGACCTGGCATTCCAGCAGCACAGGCATCCCTGCTGGCACTTTTCGGAGCCGTTCAGCCTCAGACACTGGGGCGATGCGGACCTGTGGGGCTGAGAGACATCGAGGAGCGGTGAGAAGCATCCTCCAGCATGACAGCCCCTGCTGCTGGGGTCCTGGTAGGACCCCAGGGTGAGTGCCTTGATCACCTTGCACATGCAGGATAGCCGAGTCCCGCACACCACCGGACACAAAGGTGACCTGGGCCCCACTGTCAACCAGCCGTGCTCCTCGGATCAGCAGTGAGTGCTCCATCCCATGGCGCTGTACACTCCACCGGCTGCCCGTGTCCTCCTCCTCAGCCAGCCTGGCACCGTTGAGGAACCAGGACCCATGCACCGCAGCCGACAGCTCCAGGGAGAACTGCGCATCCTCGCCATCCCTCACCCACGCGTCCTGCAGACCCCTCTCCACACGAGCTGCTGGGGCTGGAGCACAATTGTATTGAGCCCCAGTGGCACTGACTGCCAGCACACTGTGGCACGACATCCCAGCTTTAGCCTGTCTCCTCACCAAGATGCACAGATCCCGGGAACTCCACGGGGCTGCTCCTGCCGTGCTTGTTGGCGGCAGAGATGCGGAAGCAGTAGTCGGCCTCGCGGGGCACACTGTCGCCCAGCACCCGCACGCTGCTGGGCAGGTCGGTGGCAAGGCACTGCACCCACTCCCCTCCCGCCGCCTCCCGCCGCTCCAGCAGGTAGTGGCTGGCGGGGCGGAGGTGGGAATCGGGCGCGGGACACCAAGTCAGCAGAGCCGTGTTGGTCTCCACCACGCTCATCTCAGCTGCCACCGGTGCGCTTGGAGGGTCGTGCTTCACACCTGCAAGTCACAGCCCAGGTTGCCTGCTTGGGGAGGCTCTAGGGGGGATAGCAGAAGGGCTAAGTGGGGATACACAGCCTAGTTCTTTGGGGATTCTCTCTCAGGTGGAGAGAACGGTCTTGCTCCCTTGTAGCAGGCTACAGGGGTTTGTGAGTGCCTGTAAAGCTGGGTTCCTGGAGCCCTGCTCAAAGCCCCCTCCCCAGAAAACACATTGCAGCATCACACCCCCAGCATATTGGGTGCCTATTCCATCCCCTCTTCTGCATCATCCCTCTCGAACAGGCAGGAGAGAGGACACAGGACCCCTTCAAGGCTGAAGCTTACACTTGACTCGGAGCTGGGAGGATGTTTGCGACTCCCCGACAGTGAAGGAGATGATGCCCGCGTCCTGGCGGGTGACGTGCACCAGCACCAGGAGGTGTGTCCTGCCGAAGCTCTTGAGCACGGTACGGGGCGACTCCCGCAGCTGCAGCCCGTCCCGGCTCCAGCAGCTGCCCTCCACCACATCCCGTGTCTCCACACAGAAAACTGCGTTCTCCCCCTCCATCACATCCAGCTTCCGTGGCAGCCGCTTCGCAATCACCCCTATGGGAAGAGATATATGAGGGAGGAATTCTGGGGACCAGGATGGGCTCTTTGAGGTAGGAGAGGAGGAGGAGGAGGAGGAGGAGGGGCAGCAGCAGGCACCAGCCAAATGGAGGGAAGGCGAATGCAGGGGGCAGTGGAGACTCGGGCAAGGAGGGGAATAGGAAGGCAAAGCTGTGCTCCCGGAGGCCTGAGCCCACCTCGGACAGAGACCTCGGCGATGCTGCGTCCTTTGTCCTTCATCTGGCAGAGGTAGATACCGTCGTCGTCGATGCGGGCATCGCGGATGGTCAGGCGCCGCACCACCCCCTGCTCCTCCATCACGTACTTGTGGCTGGGCTGCAGCTCCCTGTCCTCCAGGTACCAGGAGGTGGGGATGGTCTCCAAGGGCACCTGGCACTCCAACACTGCGTCCTCCCGCTCTGCCACCTCCACGTCTGCCAGCTGCACCTGGAACCGCAGCCGGTGCTCTGCCACAGAAGAGACAGGAGCTTAGGGCATGTGGGGTACAGCATTCACTGTCAGCCCTTCGCTCAAGGTGCTCCCAGCTCACAAAGAGCAGCAAACCCTTGTCCCTCCTTTGCCCTCTCCTTTGGCTTGCATGAGACAGACACTGCCCTGACAAGGACATCCCCCAGAGCAGGGAGGACCAGGGCACAGCCTGGGGAGACACAGGGATGCCTCCACTATCTCAGCAGGGAGTTCTGGGGGATGAAGGAGCATGGAAGCCAGCATGCTGTAGCAGGCATCTCAGTGGAGGGGAGCAGTGGGGTGCAGGCAGGGGCTGCACCAGTTCTGGGTAACCCCAGCCACGGGCTGTCCCCAGCTGGCTGGATGGCTTGGGGGGAATTGGGCAACTGCCAGTGCAGAATGTTGGAGCCGTGCCGTGCAGGGCTGGCTGCCAAAATCACTCAGCACTTCCAGGGGAATTTGTCACCAAGGCACTCTCCCTCTTCCCTGTTTGTGGCTGGACACCTGCAGTCATCTCGAGAAGCCACACCTCTGTGTGCAAGGAGAGAGACATGGAGCAGGACACAGCTCCTGGAGAAGCCCACAGCTCTGTCCTGAGGAGCCTGGGGTGACCCTGGCTGCACGGGGCAGGAAGGAACCCAGGGACGCTGGGCTCCCACACAGACACACCCCTGCCAGAAACTTCCCTGAGCCCCCAGGGCTCGGCCACCTCTGACACTCCTCGGGCATGTTCCTACCTTTCACCTGGAGCTGCACTGCGCTCAGGGTCTGGCCAGCAGTGTTGGAAGCGGTGCACATGTACAGCCCCTGGTCCTGAGGTTTGCAGTACAGCACCTTGAGGATGAAGTAGCCCTCCCGGTCCTCGTAGATGAGATGCCTGCGGCCGGGGGCGAGGGGCTCACCATCTTTCTGCCAGATGATCTCTGGCTTGGGCTTGCCAGTAACGTAACAGCGAAACTTGGCGTGCTTGCCTGCGCTCACGGCAAATGCCTTGGCCCCTGGCACCCTGGCTGGCACTACTCCATTGGGCACCCAGGTCTCCGGTGCCAGGCGCCGTCCCGCTGCGTGCCGCCGCCACCGCTGCCGCTCCGCCAGCGCCTCGGCACCATCGGCCGGGGGGCAGCCATTGGGGAGCCCGTCTGGCGGCGCCTGGGGCTCAACCAGGAGCACGGCAGCAGCCAGGGCCTCCTGGGAGCCGCTGCGTGCCCGGCAGACGTACACTCCTCCATCCTGGGGCCGGGCACTGAACAGCTTCAGGAAGTGCCAGTCCTCTGGTTTCTGCCCCACTGCAAAATGGCTGCTCTCAAAGAGTTCGGAGAGCTTGTGCCCGTCCTTCTCCCACTCCAGCACAGGGCAGGGCTGCCCAGACACCCTGCAGGTGAACATCACGTCCTCCCCCCGGCACACCCGCAGGGACGAGGGGGCAATGAGGAAGGCAGGTGCGACGCTGCCTGAGCATCCCTCCTCCTCTCGCCGCTCCGCTGGCTCCACCCTGAGCATGGTGGCAGCGTAAGTCTCGCCAACGCTATTCTTGGCCCTGCAGACGTAGAGTCCACTGTCCTTGGGGGTGGCACAGGACACCAGCAGGCTGTACAGGTCCCCTTTGGAGTCCATATGGAAACGGTCTGAGGGCTCGATGGCATTCTTGTCCTTTTCCCAGAGGATGCTTGGCTGGGGATCACCCATGATCTGGCAGCTCAGGACCGCATCGGTGCCACTTTGGACCGTGAAGGCACGTGGGTAGGCCAGGAACCTGGGGGCTCCCCCGAACCCCTCCATCACCAGCTCCCAGGGTCACGGCAGGCAGCTGGCTGGAGCAGCAGTGGGGACCATCAGCCTGGGGGGATGTACACACAGACTAGAGTGGAGGCTTGGGCTTCATCAGAGAGATCAACCAGTATGGAGCCCCCAGCCAGGAGGGACCCACACCTGGAGCCAAATGCCCAGCATGGACCCCCTGCTTCAGGAGCATCACCCTCATTTGGAGCAGCACAGCCCCACTGGATTTGCCCCCGAGTCACCCAAATCATGCATTTCCCAGACCAAGGCAATAGGAGAGGTGACAAAAGGTGGCTCTTTGCACCCTGGGGGGCTGAGACACTTGGAACTTATCCCAGGGTTGCAGAGGGGACTCCAGTTCCAGAGGTGGGGGACCCCTGTCTAGACAGGGAGCATGGGCAGCTGCTTGCTGGGGGCTGGGGGACAGCAGGGGCAAAAGGGCCCCCGCCCGCCCCTTCCCCACCCGCCGGGCATTCACATTCCTGCAGTATCGGGTGGTGGCAGAGCCACATTCCTGCAGCATCTGGGCCGGCTCAGCGGGCAGGTGCTGACACGGAGCTGTCACGGGCCCGAGGCCCCGGCTGGACCCGGGCTGCGACTTCCTCCCAGACTTGGGTGGGCAGGGGACCCCCTGTGCCACCCCAGGGGGCAGTGCCCTGGGGCAAAATGGGGCTCTGGGAAAGGGTCCCTCTTCCAGAGAGCAGCGCCACAGGCAGGATCCAGCCCCTGAGTGCTCAAAACTGCAGCTGGAAATCATCAGTCCCAGGGGGAAAAAATGAAAGCTGGGGAGGTGGGTCCTGCTTTTGCAGGGCACGGCCTCCATCCCGGCTCTGTGGGTAACCGTGCCCACCATCAGGAGCAGGAGTGGGGCAAGGTGCTCTGTGGCACCCCCCGGTTAGTGCACCCCACCCTCTGCTCACAGCATGGCCAGGACTGGGGCAGGGTCGTCTGTGACTTGCTCAGGCAGGGGGAGGGGAAACAAAAATACTTCTTGAATGAGCCAGAGGGTAGGAGAGGGCTGGTCCCCAAGGAGCAACAGGGACTGCGGCCGGCTTCTCCTCCCAGTGGCCTTCCCCCGGGACAGTGCACCCATGCAGAGCCACCTCTCCATCCACACGGCCCTGACCCGTGGGCCAGCCCAGCCCACAGCAGCTCCTTTGGACACAAAGGGACAGCTCTGATGGCTCGGCCACGCCATTGCACCCTTCAACCCCTCCTTCCCCAGCCCCCCTGCTCCAGGCAGCCCCCAGCCCAGCCCCTGCCCCTCTCAGGTACCTCGCTGTGCCGCGTCTCCCTGCGTTTCAGTGCCGGCACCCAGCTCCTGCTGCTTCCCCCAGCTCCCCTCCGGGGTGTCAGTGCGCAGGGACCAAATGTTACAAATGCCTGCAGCTGCTGTCCCCAAAAATACCCTCTGATGACACGCGGGCTTGATAAGAGTGAGCCTGCTCCGTTCAGCGCCTCGCCGAGGCTGGACTGGCCTACCTATGTATAGCAGCCACCCCAGGGAGCTGCAGGGGTGCTGCAGGCCTGGCTGTGCCTCTGTGCTGCCCCAGCCAGCAGCGAGGGACAGCGTGCCCTGTGGAGAGCATGGCATGGCATGCAGGGTGTGCTGTACCCTGAGCTGGACACCAGACTGCAGTGGGACAGGATGTGTCACCCGGGACATGCTGCACGGGGGGATGTGCTGCACTGGGTGCTGCACGAGGTGCCAGGGATGTGCAGGACACTGAGCTGCCAGAGGCACGGGGGGGATGCACAGGCTGCCCACCATCCACAGGGCAAGCAGGGTTAGTGGATAGGGAACACCTGGCACTGTCCCCTCAGGCAATCGTGAGAGGAAGGGCACAGCACTGGGTCTCCTTACAGCCCATGCCCCTCCTGCAGCTCCCACCCTGTGAGCCAGCCTGTGGCTAGACAGCCAAACAGCACCCTAGGATCCTTCTCCTGGACCTGCTGTAGGGTCTCCAGCTGGCCTGCCTCTGTCTCATCTGTTCTTCTCCCCCTGAAGCTGGGCCAGCCTTCCGCAGCCCCAGGAAGAGCAGGGACCTTTTGCCATCCCTCCTGCTTCATGTCCCCAGGACCCTGCCAATCGCCAGACTGACATGGAGATGCCACCATCACCTTGTCCCTCACCTTGCCCTTTTCAAGGCCCCATCCTCACATTTTGGCTGCCCTGGGCACTGCCACCTGCAAAGTGCCTCCCTCATGCCAGATCCTCACAGGCCTCTGATCCCCACCAGGTCCTTGCCCAGATTTCCCTGCTGTGCACAACTGCTGTCACTTCCCACTAGCTCCCCAGAAGCCCTAGACCTTCAACTGCTCCGCCTGGGGGGCACCCAACATCAGCAGCTGCAGAGCTACCCAAGGTACCCCCCTGCATCCCTGCCAGCTTTGGCTCCTGGCACCACCCCAGCCCCACACACTCACTGCTGCCGGCAGCATCCCCCACACACACTCCCCTGCCCGGGCGCCGGCCCCCCCAGACCACACTGTCCTTGCAGTCCTCGCATTCCAGACGTCTCAGCGCTTTCACAGCTCAGAGATAATATTCACGGCGAGCAGACGTTTGCGTCAGTGTCAGATAGATCTCAATGCCACCCTGCCCCGGGGGGAGTGCCGAGGGCAGACGGGGCGGACAGGCAGGCAGAAGGC